CCCCCCCCCCCCCCCCCCCCGCGCTGTTTTTTCTTGCAATTTATCATAAACCTCAGCGCTTTCATCAGGTGTGGTTTCGCCGGCGAACCGCGGCCGATCCACGTCGTTCCGTCGCCCATCGGCGGCGGTGGCGACGGCGAGGGCTCGGCGAGGACGGAGCAAGAGTGCGTGGAGGTCCTGACCGGGGTGCTGCAAAGGCTGTACACGGAGAGCCTGCAGTGCCGCCCGAGGGTAAGCAAGACCTGTCTACGGTAGAGGTCCCTGTTCAGTGCCAGCATGTGCCCATTTGGAATGACTTGGGAAACCCAGCGAGTACCCGCCGAAAGCACCGGCGCTATTCCGAGCACGGGCACTATTCAACCGGAACTACACGGGCACCTCAACTGGTGTAATGGTTTGATCTCGGCCTCGACGAGTTTTAGTCGTGGGGTTCGAGCGACCCGGCACTTTTCACTCCGAGGAGGATGACTGACTCCCCTTGCCAGCGCTGCTATCCATCCAGTCTTTGTTTCGCTTCATCGCTCGTCACCCACACCCTGCACTTCTACAGACGTTGCGGCCTCTCGCGGCTGCTCTTCTCCGCTCCACGTCCTCCTCACCCGGGCGGCGGGAACGCGTAGCCCTCGGGACCAACACCCTTCGTCAGTACGACGGTATCGACCAGCATCTCAACGCCACGCGTCCCGCTGCTGCTCTGACGAGCTTCTGTAGGTACCCTCAGGCCCGTATGAGCTTCGTGCTCCCTGCTCGCCGGACGACCATTGCACCGAAAGGCCCAACGCAAGCACACCAGGTTTTCCTTCCAATCCCATCCCAACCCCCCCCCCCGCCCCGCCCCGCCCTGCGCCGCGCTGTTCGCTGCAAAGGAGAGAAGAGTGGTTGTTTGTGAGAGTATGGTCAGCCCCCGCCCGCTTCGAGAGGCCGTGGCATACGTCCTGTTCCGCTACTTGCAGGTGAAACGCTTGTAGGGACCCAGGCGATGACCTCGAACAAAGATGGAGGGGGGGGGG